AGTTCTCATGCCAGTCACATTTGCTTTTGTTATGACTGTGATTTTTATTGGTAAAGTTGCAAGGGCCCAGCTGAGATCAGGCAGACATGTCATAACAGCCCCTTCCCTAAAAGACAGCAGTATCTCCATGTTTGTGTGGTAGCTGCACAGCTTCTCATGATCTTCCTAGATGTTCCTGTGCCACAAAGATCTCCTTATGTCAGCAATACTTCTAAGTTATTTGTTAAGATGATCCTGAGCAAGAGTTCTGTCTGTCACTTGTAGCCACGGAAAGTAATGAATTATGCTACTTTGTGCTACTTGTACATTTTGGTGTCTTTGTGGCTTCCAGACCTGCGAATGTCTCTTTGTTTTGGAATTATTTAATGGGCATATTTCCTGTGTCAATTGTAGTCAAGGTTGTTCTGTTGTTCTTTGGCACAGCATTTCCTTGTTATCTGTCAGAATAGTTCTGTGACACCCGTGGAGCATTTCTGTGTCTTGTGTTGAGGGTTTACTCTGAACATGCGCTGTGTGTACTCCCTTGGCTGTCCCTCAGAGGAGAGATATTTCCTGTCACAAGTGCAAGGCCTGATCACATTGACAGCAATGTGTGCCTTTGTGAGGGACACAGTGACTGAGGCCGTGGTTTGCCTCTCAAGCTGTTTGTTAAGATTCTTACGATCAAAAAGAGAGGTTTCCCTTCCACTAAAAGGGAACTGGGAAAGGTGATGATGCTGCTTCCTATTGGGTACAGTTACCACAGTTACCCACATGGCATCCTCAGACTCATCCTGCAGCTGAAGTCTTCCTTTACCCCTTTGAACAGGATCCCTTCCAATAACTGCTTTCTTGGCAAATACCTGTCCCATAAGCTTTTAGCACTGTTCTCATCAGCTGAAGTGACTGTTGCCCACCACAGTGCCATTCCTCCTGGGATCTGCTAGTCATTCCCAATTCAGATTTTCCCCATAAGCCCTTTCTTCACCAGCACCTGCAGCCCTCTGATGGACTCCGTCTCTTCTCCGAAGTCCTCTCTGGTCTTTTCTGTCACCTTTGCTCATACACACACGGCTTTCAGCTCTCATACTTTGTGTATTACAATATTTGAAGCTTCTCCTGATAGTCCAGCTTCCAGAGGCATACCCTTAGATGAGAATTGCAACTTTGATCTAAAACCAGATATAAGTGTCTGGCCCTTGCAGTTTCAGGGAAAAAAATGAAAACACATCCTCTGTAGGTTTTGACACCAGAAGACAAACACAGGGACTTAAAATCATTTGGTTTTGAAGAAAATAAGACAATCTGTGACTGTGAATGTCTCAGCTTTAGCAATACAAGACATACAAATCTGTCTTTCAGTATCACCTCAGTGAAACCTTCTCTGCTTCAAAAGTAAAATATATATGCACAATTAATATAATTGCTCTGTGAAGTTTGGGATTCATGCATTCTACCATTGCTAAGCCAAATACTACTGCAAGCTGTTTGGACAAGATTAGCCTCAAGGTACCCTACAGGCCTCTGTCAAAAGTTTCCTTGCTTTTGCAGATTTTTAAAGCATAGGCTAGGGCAGAGTGGCCCATCCCCCTCCTTCTTCCCTCTCCCCTCCAGAAATTTCAACCTAAACTAAAGTATTGTCTTTCTCCTTACAACTTTTGTACCCCTCTCTATCCATTTGCTTGCTTTGATCATTCTTATTTCTTTTTTAACCCCATTCTTTACCCTTCTCTTTCCTGCATCCTTTTCTTTCATTTCCCATAGACTGTACAGATGCTGTCTCATCAGCTGGTCCTGGGTTTCCCAAATACACATACACACTTATGTGTGCACATGCACACGCACACACTCTGACACAAATAAATAAATAAATAGAAAGGTCAGTGAGCAGAGCAGCAATAACCCCTAAAACAGTACTATCAGAGGGACATGATTGATCAATTGAATTCCATAGCGGCTCAAAAATGTGGGATTAAGTAGTGTATTATACGCACAATGAGTTGAGGCATGATGTTCATTTCAAGTTCATTTCGCCAGCCCTCTGCCACCAGATCAGGCAATCAATAGGGGCAGCAGATATCATATATCACCTCTCTCCGTGCTAGGCAGAGAGCACCATAATCTCCCGCAAATTTAGAGTGACAGATTTGTCAAGATCTGAAGGGCCCCTGAATAAATGAAGGAAAAGAGATTCTTACAGCGACTCAGGAAAGCTGTGATTTCAGCTTCTTCACACAAAGGCATGGCCTGTGCACACGCAGGAGAACATGTGCACAGGGCTCCGAAGGCAGACAGAATTGCAAATACCTGTGCATGTGTGCACAAATCGGTGTAACCACTCAGGGCAACTCACTAAGGGTAAAATCTAGTTTAATGACAATCAGTGAAGGTTTTACTGTACATCAGTCCCCTCACACCAAACAAGATGTGGAGTTTAAGGCTGCCATCCTTGAAAATCAGGTATAGCCAAAATCAGCACCCACAGACAAATGCCTGGTCAGGTATGTACTGTGATGCAGAATCTAAAGAATAACAGAATAATTATCTACTGCAAAAATACCCATGTGTATTAGTGTCATGGTGTGTACAATCATACACACTCACTGACACGTGGAAAAATCCTCAAAGACAAACAGCTTCACAGGCTGCAGACAGGTTGAGGCTGATACAGAAACTTTTTTTTTTCTGAGTCTGGGCCCAGAAGTTCTGTGCTAGCTTTCTGCAGAGAAGACCAGAGTTCTAGTCTTCCTGAAATTCACCACCTGCAGAAACAGCTCAGTGTCATATAAAACATGAAAACTATACTGACCCACACAGCCTGCAGTCCAGCAAGCCTGATCCTTGCTTTGTTTTCTTAGTCAAATCTGTCATGAACTCCAGATTTCAGGAAATTGATAACTTTCTCTTGGGCAAATAAGCCTGGGGAGAGGAGAAAACTCCAGGGATCTGTGCCAGTAAACAGCCTTGCTCTGGCTTGGGGTGGAAAAGAAAGGGAGAAGAGGCTGCTTGAGGGAAGGCTGCTGGCAGGGACAAATCAATATGTAATATTTTCTATGGTCTTGTGAGTGGTACTGTACTACGCTACTGTATATAATGTACTATTGATTATATCATATCGTATAATCACCTATAAACGGATATATCTCATAGCCAGAAGGGAGCAGGCTCAGTCATAACTCTGGGCCACCAGCTGGGCATTAACTGTGCCAGGAAAATACCATCTTGGCACTATCTATGAGCTAAAAGAGGAAGCAGCAGAGTGATATTGCTCTGAATGCTGCACAGTGAATGTCACTCTAGGCTTCTGGGAGCATCATGTGTTCATGAGCACCTCATGACTGCATGGAGGAAGGAAAAGGTCTATACAGTACCCTCGACCAATTTCCTGACAGAGAGCAGATTTCTGAGGTTCACAGACTGGAGGCCACCAGGAAAGGCTTAAGTACCAGGCACATTAGTGAAAAACCAGGAAGATAATTACAGCACAAGAGGGAGAACCTGATCTTAGGTTAGTCAGGGTGATAAGGCAGTCAGACTTGTGTCTGCTGAAGTACAGTAGGTAAGGATTCAGCATGGAGAGTATGGAGGTATATCAGCATGGATGAAGGAGGGGATTATTACCAGGCACACCAAAGTTAGCCTGAGATGTGACAGCAGAAAGATACTCAGCACAGTTGGAGGAGATTATAATGAGAAGACTTGCCTGAGAGGAGATGAGGGATTATGACAGAGGAAGATTCACTTCAGCTGGGACAGGAGGTTATAACAGACAGACTCACCTTGGATATGACAGATGCTAATAGCAGGAGAGTCACTCGACATAAAAAGGGGTTATAACAGAGAAAAATGCACCTCATTTGAGTTGGGGGATAACAGAGGAAAAAAACCAAACCAAACCCAAACCCAGATAGGTGATCAAATGGTTTATCACAGGAAAAAAAATCACTTTGGATGGGGCAGGGCATTTATAACGGACTCACAGCCAAGGGGATGAGTGGGCTGTAAGAGACATGGGATGGCACAACAGAAAGAGAGAAACCCTGGAGCATGGCAGGAGGCACTGCTGTGAGATTGGACTGTGTCAGAGGGCTGCTGTAGGGATAGAGATGCACTTCCAGGGAAGCTTCTACCAGAAGACAGCTATATTCCTAGTAAGAGCAAAGTAATACAAGGAAGGCTGAATCTCAATGAGCAGGCGGGAATTTTGTAATTCCCACCTAGGTTTTCTAATACAGTAATTCATTTTGGATAAGAAGGGAAGCTGGCAGAGACAGAGATTAATTTCATTTTGGAGGGAGTTTTATAACAGAGATACGGGTCATGATAAATCACAAGCTAAACATAGGTGAATGGGACAGAAACCAACATATGTTGGATGGGACAGCTGCCCCACAGGGAGAGATTTGTCTCTGGTGGAACATGGAGTCAGAAAACAGATTTCCCTGTTATCTAAAAGGAATGAAAGGCTCATCTAGGATACGATCAGATGAAATTAGAACAGTGATAGCTGCTCATAGGACTGGGGAGCTACAACAGAGACTTGCTCCCCTCCAAACTGTAAGAGAGCATTTTTCCCATTGCAGGCTCCCTCAGTCCTCTCCACTACAGCCCATCCTCAACACACTTGTTTCTCTGTGAACTGCCTCTCCAATGGTCTTCCAGCGATGCTAATCGCTGTGCTTTGCTCCCATTTTATGCTCGGCAATGGAGATTTGGCAATTTTTAACACTGAAAATCAGCGGAACCGAAACTCATCTCTGAGCTAAGCAACATTCTCCACAGCCTCACTCATCCTGGGCAGGAGAATCCCACAGAACCCACTGGAGCAGCCTGGCCACTCCATCAGAGAGGAGGGGGCTCCTCTTGGACCCCTGCAGCCCCCTCTTCCCTCAGGAATGGCACAGCTACCTGGGTGGAGGCACAGAGCCTCCCTCTTTCCCACTCTGTCCTTGTCCTGCATCCATTACCAATCCAAGCCAGGGTGGTGCTAACTCCCTGTTTTCTCTGTCTGTGCCCTGCAGATGTATCCGAGGGCTCAGTTCCCAATGGAGATTCCCAGAGCAGCGTGGACAGTTTGCGGAAGCACCTTCGTGGCGACACTTTCACCCAGCAGCAGCTGGAAGCTTTAGATCGAGTTTTTGAGCGTCCTTCTTACCCTGACGTCTTTCAAACATCAGAGCACATCAAATCTGAGCAGGTGAGGGCCTGGCCTGGTAATGGGAACCCACAGGCACGGAGAGGATGAGGACAGGGAGATTCCCAAAATCCCTCTCCCCCTCTCTGTCCCTTGTTCTGACGCTGACCTGTTATTGCACATACCTTTTACAGCCCTGCTTATTTGTAACTGTATCACTGTGCTTATACACATGCTTTACCTCCTCTAGTAAACTTGCACACTGTGCTCTCCCTACAGCCCCATGACCACTTTTCCCTCTGCACACAGACCTGTCTGAACCTTGCCATGAACATGCCTAACCTCATCCATGTTCACTGGCAGACAGCACTGCATAGAAACTCCTGCATCCTGAGATCACACTGGTGGTCAGCGAGCCACAGGATTGGGTTTTAATGGATCATTTTCCTTCATGGCCCAAAGCTGAGACTCAACTCCTATCTCCAGCATAGTTTTCCACACTTCTGCAGCTCTGCCCACCTTTTCTTTACTCCCCTGCTCTCCCAGCCTTTTATCCCAAAAGCTGTTTGTCTTAATAAAATGAAAATCAAAAGTCTTTTTAAACCGCCCCAAGCCATAAACCAACAAAGGAAGAGAAGGAGAGGCTGGCTGTGGACTCCCTTCATCCCAGAGTCCCTGGGTTTATTACAATGAATAACCTTTATTTACTTTCATTAGACTATTAAGCACCAGCACAGTCATTTTTCCCCCTGAAACTCTGAGCAGGGCCCATAAAGCAAATCCAAAGCCTAATTGAGTTCATTTTAATTTCTCTCCGATCACAGCGAATTACTCTGGTGATAAATCAGGGGGCAGGCTCACCCCCAGTAGAAGGCCTAATTTGCAGCTAATTACAAAACTGATTTCTACAGGAAGATCAATACAAGAAGGAATTGGAAATGACTAGGCAGTCCTAGCCTAGCAGGGACAGGGGCGGGGAGGGGGCAGCATGCGTGGAACCTGCTGGAGGAGGGGAAGATGTGGGGAGGGGGCTGGGGAAGTGCATGGAAAAAAACAGAGGAGAAAGAGCAGAAAATCAGTTTTAATTTAACGTAATATTAATCAGAGCAACTTTTCCTGCTGTTTTGTAGCCTTCCTGGTTTCTCCAGCTCCCGCGTCTGGTCTGGAGGCTGCCACAATAAAAAGGCAATTACCAGAGCCTTTCGGACAGGACACCCTTTCAGATTCAATGGCTCTCCCCCTCCCACCCTTCTGTTAGCCATGTGGCTCCCCCCTCCCCAATTTCATACCCCAATGCACAGAGTGACAGAGGCAGGGGATGAGGCTTCTTTGTTTTTAAAAAGCTAGGACAGAGGTAACAGTGGAGGGGAGACAGGCGACCCAGGCAGAGACCCTGGCAACAGTGAGCCAACACTGGCTGCTTCCTACAGCCTGCCTGTCCTAGTCATGTCATTGTAGTCCTGTGCCCCAGCTGTCCTTGTCACCAGGGCAAACACCTCCCATCTCCACTCAGCCAAGAGGAGGGGATGTGGATTTCCCTTTTCTTTTCCCATGGGCTGGCACAGACAGCCATCCCCATCCCCACAGCACCAAAGGAGGGCTCAGCCATACCACAAGGTAACAGGCCAGATCCCTCACCTCTCTTTCCCTTCACAGCATCAAGCAGGCAGGTGGGATAGTTCATCCTAGGATACCCCCTCCTCATCCCCCTCAACCTTCTTGTCACTTTACCTTCTCCATTTCCTCCTCCTCCTCCTCCTCTTCCATCTGTGCAAGGGTTTGCATCTCTCCTCTTCCTCCCCCCCATCTGTACACCCTTCCCTTTCTCCCAACACATCAATAGCGAGCTGTCTTTCTCCTCTCTTCCCCAGGGTAATGAGTACTCCCTCCCAGCTCTGACCCCTGGTCTCGATGAAGTCAAATCAAGTCTATCCACCTCTGCTAACCCAGACCTGGGGACAAATGTGTCAGGACCCCAGACGTACCCTGTGGTGACCGGTAAGCTGCCTGACCAAACAGCAGAACCAAGCTTTTTATTTATTTCCCTCATCACCATTAGCTTCTGCTTTTTCTGCTAATGCAAGATACCCCTCTGTGGCAAACAAGGAAAGAGACAGAAAGACTGTTGAGAACATAAGGGTTCAATAGAAGTTTGAAATTCAGAGTGTTGGCAGTTTTGGGTACACTTAGATGTGTCCAGGTGTGACTCAAAGACAGGCAAACCCAGAAATGAATCACAAACTTGTGTGCCCAGATGGGGCTTAAGGTTGGGATGTTGGTGGAGAACAAATATATCCGAATGTGCACTGTGATTTTTTTTCCTTTGTATCTGAGAACAAGGGGGTCATGGCTTACCCATGATCTCCACTTGGTTTCCTTTTGGAGAAATAATAGTTTAAGTTTTATTCAACCCTGGCACTTGGAAGGGGCATTTGCAAATTAAAAACTGAGATTTGCTGAACTGCAACTGCTAAACTCCCTCCTCCTTAAGTCCATGAGTCTCTTAGGAAAGCCGGCAAACATTTTTTTTCACAGCCCTTCCTCACGTGTGGGCACATTAAACTCAGGTGTGTTCCTGTGAGAGTAGAAACTATGAGCCAACACATGAAAGCAGACAAATTAGGATGCAGAGAAATAGGAGGCAACCCCTGTAGCAGATGCTTCACTGAAACTTCCTTTTTGCTGGTGGCACACGCAGAACCTGAGTGGCACAGGTTGGCCTAGGGCCACAGGTCACTCCCACACTGTCCTGATACTGGTGTAGGCTGCCTGTCCTGCGTGTGTTTAGAGCTGTTAGGAAATGGTGTCACAGCCCATCTTCTCGAGGCCTTGGTTGCTATTGGTGGCTGCTCACACAGCTACCAGACTTGCACATCTCCTCCTGGGTAGCTAAAGTGGCTGCAAGGCTCAAGTGACTTGCCCCTGTTTGGTGTATCCCCCTTTCTCAACAACTTTTGTAGCACCTCTAGAAACCTCGTGGTAGAAGTTGAGAAACAACTCATGACAAAGAGGTCTAAGTTGTGTTAGTAAGGGAAGAAGCTTCTTGTCCCTTGACCAAAAAGTTGTCCTCTGATGGCACAGAATCAAGAGCACTGGAGTATGTATCTCAATTTTTTCTTACAGAAGCCCCAGCTAATAGCCCCTGATGTCAGGGCAGCTCATGGCTGAGGCAGGCAGTCATTGCTTGACCAGCAAACACTGAGTAAAGGCATATTGTTGCATGCAACTTTTGGCTACTAAGAACTTTGGGATCATGCAGGATTAGTAACAGTTAACTCAAACACAGAGGACATCCAGCGTGTCTGCAAAATCTCATGGAGACCATGGGAGATGAACTATATTATTCAGGAAATGTTTAGAAACTGTGACATCCCAGACCTGTTTCATGGCTTTTACAGCTATCAGGCTTGATTCAGAATCCTTGTAGCCATGCAATTTCTTAGCCAACCAGAAAAAAAAAAAAGGCTTAGCTGTGGCAAAAGTGTCCAACCTTTCTTTGTATTTGCAAAACTCAGCTGTCATTCATCTACTATTTAGCAGATCCACATCTCTTACAGGAAATATCTTCTCATCTTTGAGGGACAAAGCCAGTAGCAGAGCAAGGCAAATCCCCACAGCTAAATGTAAAGGTGATGTGTCTACAATCAGAGTTTAAAATTCAAAGAGACCATGAAAATAGTTCTTTTTAGTCCTTTTGCCTACGTGAAGATGGTGCATTCTAGCTTGTCAATGTGAGAGGAGGCTTCCTGAAGGCTGGGACACTACACAAACCTTGGACTTGACTCTCACAAGAACACAGCAGGAGACAGATTTGGTCTCACAGAAGAGACTGTAGGCTGAGGAAAAAAATTTTCTTCATGTCCCTCCCACCCTGTGTTACCCCTACTCTGTTCCCTGCCACACTCCCAGCTCAGCTTGAGAACGTCCCCATCTGATCCATCTGGATCCAAGAGTGAGAAAAGTTCATTTCAGACCCAGCTTGACATTCCCAGGTGGCAACTTAGCACTAACATCTCAATCTGTATGCAACATTTCAATCAGTGCAGAGTAACAAAAGCTGAACTATTAGCACTGGGAGCTGTTCACTGGTGGTAATGATGGAGAAATTCAGAAACTGGAAATTAAAAGGGGAAGAAAAAGCCCCACAACAACCTGAAAGGCATCAGGGGAAGAGGGGCGGAGAATTTTTCCTGTACACTTAGGCCAGGATCCAATGTTTGGATTAATGGTGCCATTACCCAAGAAAGGACTTCAGATAATGCTCATTCTTAAAATGTTTTTGCTGGCAATTAAATGGTTGCAGGTATTGATCTTCATTGATCTGATGTTCTCAATTTGCATAATCTATTAAAGATGAATGATTCATTGTATGTTTGCTATGGGGCTGGGCAATGCTTTCAGGAAGGACCAGAGATGTGAGGAACTCTGTCCTGCTTCCTGATCTACCCCAGCTACGAAATTAAGGAAGAAGCATGTAGATTTCTTTAGTATCACCCAGCTCCTGCTCCCAGGAAGGGATATTGGAGTAGTAGTGAGTATTGAATTGCTGGCTGCCTCTTTTGCTGCTATGGTATCATCCTTGAAACGCCTCACAAAACGCCCAGGGCAGTCTGTGAATTCAGGTGATACCTGACACAAATGCGAAACAAACCTACCCATTCAGGGTACAAATTCTGTGTGGAGTCACTTCACAATGTGAGATTTGGAGCTTCAGTCTACAAGGAAGTCTCCCCAGCTTAATCTTCCCAGAGAGAAAACTGTATCACTAGGCCTGCCTTTCCGAACCATAGCTATATGATGACAGATCATGCAGTCTTCAGAAAGTCTTCCTTTCTGAAGACTTCAGAGAAGGTCCTTCTCTCTGGCTCACGAGTAGCTGTCCTCAGCAAGCTGTCCTCAGCTCACACCATTCTGAGACTACAGCCCTCCAAAAGCCATCAAACCCTCAACAATCTGTCACTACCTAAGACTGTGAATTGTAGTGAGATAGTTAAGGAATGGTGTTGCTGAAGTCCCTTTATCTGTCTGGGAGCTTCTTGGAACTGAAGAGCTGGAAATGCTGCAGAACAGGCAGCCACCTCTTCAACAGGCCAGAAGGCCTTCCCCAAAGTCCTGGGCATCTATTCAAAGACACAGCTTAGCACCACAGCTATGTACAGCCCAGCTTTGCCTAGTACTGCCAATGTCAAACACTCCCTTTCACACAATTATTGTACTAACACATTTTAGATGGCTCATTTATTACTCAAATCTCTGAAAGAAGTAAACAAAACCATTTTTTTACTATGCAGCAAGCAGGTCATCCTTATCTCTCCCTATTAAGTATGTTCAAGGAATGTCCATGATTGAGTTGTCACTTAGGGACTTGCTGGACACTAGGCTAGGAAACCTACCCTGTTGTCCTTCATATGGAACAGACAATGCACAAATTTTCAACTGCCCTGTGAAGATTCAGAGAGAGAAAAAAGTTCATGGATTTTACTTTCCTCCACACCTCCCCTCTCTGGCACACAATCAGGGTTTTTTTCAGTTTATTTTTTTTTAAATTCATATATGAATGTATAAAAAAAAAATGGAATTACTGACAAAAAAGGATACTTGCTATACTTGAAAGACAAAGTAGTATTCAAACAGAATCTGATTCTCAGGAAAGCTGTGATGCTAATCATGGGGAAATCACTGGCTAGACATTTGGAAAGATTTTCTGAAATGCTAAACAATCCTTTGAGAACTTTAGCCTCCTGCAAGGTGAAAAGATGCTATTTCCTTCATTTCAGATTAGCGAGTGAATTGAAGAGAATTTTGTTCAGTTCGATAACATGGTCATTTAAAATGAAGGAACAAACTCAGATTTCAAAAAGCAGGAACATTTTTTTCCTCAAATTAAGTGGATTAGAGTTGGTATGAAAGGATGAAATCTATTCTTTTAAAAATAGGATTCTTAAACCAATCAAAATTCTTCCTTATAAGTATCCTTTCTTCCAGTTAATAAAGAATTTTTTAATGCAAAACCTGCTTAGAAAAGCTTGATTTTTCTGTTCTAGTATATTTAGGAAGTCAGGGAACTTATGGTCATTTTATTTAATTAGCATGAATAATTACAAATACTGTTTTTAATTTAATTCTAATTTCCATGCAAATATAACTTGACACAGATAACAAGTAAAAAGTTAATAATCTAATAAAATAATAACATGGACTCATCGTTCACTATTTTGCCATGTAATAACATATGAAGACAAATTATATTAAACAACATAATTGCTTAAATAAACGTGCACATGATACAGTTCATCTACTTAGCAAAAACTGAAATAACTATGTTTAGGGTGAATTTTGTATTTGTCAAAATATTTGTTACCTCCCATAAAATTCAAGCTTGTAGCAAAGAGCCCCACAGTGGAAATGCAAAACAAGTTGATCCAGTTTGGTGTTTTAAATCATGACTGAAACTGACCATTACATTCAGTTGTACTTATAATGTTACAGTGAGAGGGGAAGTATTTCCTTCCCCTTTTCCTTGTTTGTACTGGTGAAAAATTCCTGTCTTACTCCAGTCTACTTTAGCCTCTGATATCAGCAAACAATGGCCCTGGTCAGGGCTGGACTCCTCTGGCTTAAAAAATTCAGTGTTTATCAAACTGCTGGGGGGCCCAAGTTGGCTTTGGTGATGGCAGATGCCAGATGCTGACCCTGCTCAGCAGCCCAGCAGCATGGCTGCAGCCACCATCACTCAAACAGCCTCTTGGGCACAGCTCTGGGTGCTCCAATGCCCTGAAAAAGGAATATGATAATCATTCATGCATCTGCTACTAGGTTGTTGCCTCCCTAAAACAAAGGTAGTATTTTCTGTGAGCAAGCCTCTCATATTGAAGATGAGGAACTGGCAAAAGCAGAAGTCCACAGAACCTCCAAGTTTAATCAATCATTTCCCCTCTTTAAGAAGAGATAGCATCTTCTTATCTAGTCAAGGAGTTTGTAAAAGCAAAAGGTGTTAC